ATTTTGTTGCGAATATTTAGCTTCCTTCCAGCTTCCGTGTACGAGTAGATAGTGAAAGATACGAATATGTTAGTATTTTAAATCAGGTTTAATAGGCAAATTTTTTAAGTAAATTTTTTAAGGTTACAGTATTGTAATATTCGCAGGTAATTCCTGCTAAGTCTATTTTTTTTTAAATTGCTTATATTACTTGCTGATAATGTAGCTTTTTATAGGTGTAAAAATCTTCGAAATCGGTTGAATAGTTTTTGAATAAATCACAAACAGATAAACGTAAGGAAAATCAATCTTTTCTTTCTTTAAAATTAAGTATAGATATAGGCGATAAAAATATACGTTGAATACAGTCATTACATTATTTCAAAATTATTTTATATACCATAAATTTTCGAAAATCCTTCCTTATCTCTCATCATTTGTATTCAAAATATCTATTACGTAAATTTGGTTTAAATACGAGTAGCTTTAGTAGTTAAGACCCGGACAGGACTTAGTTATCTCTTTATAATATTAGCATATATTAATGAAATAGCTGGTGTTGTTCAAGTGGGCATTGGGTTAGGAGTTTAGAAAATCTTGTAATTTTTCAGAGTAGAAAGTATTCTAGATTTTTATCCGTTGATATTTTAGTCATTGAATGACATGAATACTGATACATGATAGTCATTTATTTTTAAGTAACTTTAGAAAGAAGGTTTTTAATCTGTCCCATTTATATGATTAATATTTTTACAATCAATAGGGATTATATCCGTGTTGGTTTCATATTTTATGATGATTAGGGAGAATATTTTTCTAGTAAAAATGTTTCTTGTTGTTATTTCCAATTTCAATTATGGCAAAACCAGTTATTTTTGTTTAAAAATTAAACAACTATACTGAGTAAGATAAAATTTCTGTTATGGAACCAATCTGAAAGTAAAAGATTTTTTTACTTTCAGATTGAGTTATGAGGTAACAAACATGAAAAAATACAACCGAATTGAGAACCTTTTTTGAAGTCGGATAAAAATTTGTAACAGTAGCGAGCTTAACGCCATATTGCATTAAGCTTATTGCGAATCCAAATCTACCTATAGACACACAATTTCGCGTTCTAATTTTAAATATTTTTAATATCTCGTCGTTTGTTGGTGCATGTGTGTGTGTATTCAATATTAAAGAAGTTTTTTTGGATTTATTTATTTAACTCTTTATTGCATTAACTACATAAAAATATAAAATTACAATTACACAGTATGAGAGAGAGAGAGAGAGAGTACAGATTAAATTATAATTGTAAAGTACAAATGTCCTTGTTGCTACATATTATTCTTATCGAGAATACCCATATTTTAATAAGGGTATCCTATCGTCTCTCGAACTAGACGGGCAACCCCAAAGATAAAAACGTGAGTGAACCCGATATGAATAATTGTAATCGAGCATGACTCACGATAGTTATTATTCAACAGTATTATTTTTGTTATAAATTAATTATAGTTTACTTATCTATTTTACTAGATCGCTATTTGAACGTGCGGTTATGTTCGTTTGATAATAATATTTCAATGTAGTATGTTTAGGTATGTAATATTAATGTAGTGTATTATAAATTTTGAATAAAGGAAATACGATTCGTTAGAGGGTTCTAAACCAATTATAATATTTTTTTTCACTTGTTTTGATAAAACTTCTATGGGACAACCATATTAATTTTGTCACGATACAAAATTGGAGCAAAATTTTAAAATTTCACGCATTAGAATAAAGAATCCGGAATATTTTTGTTTTTAGCGCTCAGTTCGTCGTTGGATATTGTATGATTAAAATACCATCAGTATTTTATATAAGTGGACATATAAGATTACGGCAAATGGAATAAACTTGAAAAGTATATTATTATATAAGTAAATATTATTTCAGAGATCTAAGAACTTTTGCCGCAAATACATTATGAAAAATGTTTTTGGTATTTAACATAACACATAACGCTTTTGTCTGATACATACGCCGGTAACTAAATTTCTGTTATGCATTTCATAGCATCATAAATTTTATCAACGCTATCACTGATATTGTCACACAATTGAAATGCTTCATGTTTTTTAACAAAGAATGTTTTAGATATTTTTTATTGTTGTTAAAAGCGTGATATATCTTTGTGTGCGACGAAATAGTTGAAAATAATAATATTGTTGGTATATATCTTGGTTATCTGGTAGATTTTGCTTATTATTAAGACCGTTTTTTAAATACGTGAATATATAATTTATAAATCAATACATATATTAAAATCGTAATCTGTACATGGAAGATGTATAAGAAAAACTATTACAGGGGAACTAATGAATGCAAGAGAATCCAAAATAATGATATTTAGATTTTTTTTCTGTTTGTTTACGTTACATTTCATCATATCAGCCTTTAACTGTCCACTGCTGAACATAAGCCTCCACCTTGGGGGGTTTTGCCAGAAGTTGCCGTGCTTGGCACGCGGATTGGCAACCACAGTTAGGCTTTAGAGATGTTTTCAGAGGGGCGCCCATCCCTCGGTCTCTCTTAGTCGGCTCTTACAACGCCCACGGCATAGGAAGGGGTAGCCTATTCTATGCCGGGACCACACGGCCACGTTTGTGGCCTAATCCTTGTGGCCACTAATCTCAAAAACGGCTTAATCGATTTGAACGGGGTTTTACTAATGCGTTGCGATTTACTCCACTTAAAATGTTGTGTTTGTTTTATTTTAATCGGTCCATAAATAAAAAAGAAGAAATCTCATATAAAATGCTATGTTATAGTTGAATTGGCTGAAATTTTATGAAGATATTAGGTACATAATTATCATTTAAATCTATAATACAATATAAGACCGGATTCATGAAGAGTTCAATGGGAATGATATACGGAAACTACATAGAAGCGAGCAACGCCGCGGGAAACAACTAGTTATTTATTATAGTCCTTATTCACTATTCCACTTTATTACACCAAATACAAAGTCTGGTGCAATAAACTCTAAATAAATAAATAAACATCTTAATTAAATATTGGAATATAACATGATAGTGTGGATTTATTAACATAACTCATTAGTACAATTTCTTTATACTGCCGTTTGATAAGAATTTGTTTACAAGTGGATTCTTAGTTGCAAACGTTATTTTATTATTCTATTTATATAATGATGTTTTCTCATGTTTCTACTTTGCATTATTATGAAAATAACAGTGTGCAGAGTGCTAATTCGTACCGCATTCCTAACAGGATAATTTTGTGTTGGTTGAACTTGTGACTCGAAACGTTTAAAATAAATTAGGACCGGTTTTTAAGTACTACTTGCAGCTTGAATTCCTAGGTTGTGGTTAGCTCATAGCTTCGGCTATATGAGTGGGCGCGAAACCGATATATTTTTTATAATAATGCTGTTATGCATCATTTTATTTATGAACTTAATGATTTTACAAATACACTGTGATCTGCAAAAAAGTGCTGTTTCAATCTTGACAAAATACACTGATAAACGTATTATGTATTTTGTAGACGTATTAGATTGTACTTATTTTTATTTAATATAGGTATTTTGGGCTATATGGCCCCGGCATAAAATGAGCCACCCCTTCCTTTCCCGTGGGTGTCTTAAGAGGCGAATTTAATGGTCATGAGATGGGCAACAGCGTCCCTTTTAAAACATCACCAAAACCTAATTGCAGTTGTCAACACGTCTGCCAAGCGTGGCAAATACTAGCGAAACTCCCCTTATGGGGAAGGCCTATGTTCAACAGTGATCAGTTAACGACTGATATAATAATGAAAAATAGGGATTTTGGAGGGAACGCTATTCGTCAAGAGTCAAGGACCTTCGTATGCATTAGCTAACTTAAAAAAATTACATCCGAGAGCGTCATCCTCTATTGATTCTTTATATGAAAAGGACATCCATGATGGATTTTTGGAAATTTCTACGCCAAAGATAACAAAATTCGCATGATCGAAGTAGATGGAAACGGTTTAAAATAAAACATTTTATATTTTGTTTGCAGTAAGATAATTTTAACAGTCTAGTAAAATACTTACTGAAACTAATTAGATTTTGTTGTAGAATAAACGTGAATTGTCGTGATTTGATCTGGTTATTTTTCTAAAAGTATAATTGATTCCCAAATTTATTTGATTATTAATATAACGTTTAATTATCCTATTAAAATTTAGTTTTATAGATAAAAGTATTATTTCTTGCTCTATCCATTAGTTCTCGTGTTTATCTTGATGAAAGTTTATTTTGGACGCTATACCTTTGTAAATACGCATAGGAGTTAATTTTCAACTATTATGCAAATTAATTAGAGAATTGTAAATATTGGGCTTCGTTTTTATTATTTCATTATCATTTTAACCAGTCATTGACCACTCTGAATATATCCTTACACTTATTACTACAAAGATCGGTTACCGTTTACCAACATCTATTGACTCGAATCCCTATAACACAATTGAGGTTATTCTAGTGTGAGGTCCCCTTGTAGATATCAACGCAATATTTACCTATATGAATAACTAGAGAACATACAATATTTTAATTTCTACATAATCTGGCTTATCTAACGGAAAGATATTGAAATAAAAACTATTAAAAAAACTCAACAGAATACAGTTTATAGAATTTCTCGAAAAGAAGAATAATTACGATAATTAAGACCTTATGCCTATTTATTCAATTTGATGTGATAATACTACAAACTGTGCATCTAAGTACCAAAGATTACTTAGAGACGACTTTGTGACAATAATTTCATTGTGTTTCCACATCGTTGGGTTGTTTCATCAAATTATTATGTCATACTTGTTGAAGGTTACGGTAGTTTTTTATTGTCTCTGAGAAATTTTTGTAACTCACTTTGAGTTTCCTTACTTTTTTAAAATCTATCCTTATTTATAAATCATGTTAAGCGAGTTATCGATATCCAGTAACATAAAATTAGAATAAATTGATTGTAATGTTTGTTTTATTTACTTTTCAGTTTGATATCACTCGAGTCGTTGGAGCTTAGAGAAAATTTGTTGAAATCACTTCCAGAATCATTAAAGAATCTAACTAAGTTGGAGAGGTTAGATTTGGGGGACAATGAAATTGAAGAACTGGTTAGTTTATTTTCAATATTTTTCTATTTTGTGTTATTTACATATCGTTTATGTCGCTTACGATGTCTTTTTATTTTTGCAGCCTGGGTTCGTTGGAGAATTACCTGCACTACAGGAATTATGGTTGGATCACAACAAATTGCAGTACTTACCACCAGAAATTGGTAACTTAAAAGCACTTACGTGTTTGGACGTCAGCGAAAACAAACTAGAAAAACTTCCTGAAGAAATCGGGGGGCTTTGCTCCTTGACTGACTTGCACCTCTCGCAAAACATGTTAGAAACGATACCAGACGGTACCGGCGATTTATCCAAGTTAGCTATACTAAAGTTGGACCAAAATAGATTACATACGTTAAACGAAAATGTAGGAAGGTTAGTACACCATACTGTTTAATATATATTTCAGTTTGTTAGTTTATCGTGCGTTATTTATAGATGTAATGATTCTGTATTGCTTTTCCAGGTGTACAAATCTTCAAGAGCTTATACTAACGGAGAATTTTCTAATGGAGCTGCCTAAATCGATAGGGAATCTCAATGAGTTGACAGTACTGAATGTAGATAGGAATTCCTTGGGTGAAATACCAATAGAGATTGGGAATATGATGTTGTTGGGCGTACTAAGTTTAAGAGACAACAAATTGACAAGACTGCCGAATGAATTGGGAAATTGTAAATCACTGCATGTTTTGGATGTCAGCGGTAATAGGTAAGTACTCAAATGTAATTAAGTAAATTACTCGTATTAGTCACTGCAACATTATCGAAACTGGTTTAGGAATTTTAAAATGTCTTATTATTATCTACAGTACTTCAATATAATGACATGTATAACAGAGATGTCACAATAATGTATGAGTCAGACTTCCTAGGAAAGAAAATCATAAATTTATAGATGTCATAGAATGATTATACAATAAGATTAATTATTAACAATTATACGATTTAAATGTGTATGCTAGTTTGTAATTATAACTATTCGCTTACTATTATTTGCCTAATCTCATGGCGGCAGTGCGTACTTCGGGAAATTGATTTTGGCATTAGTAGTAGCAAAATAAACTACCGGTTGTCATTCGTGAAAACTAAATAAGATTCAGTGCCTTTATTTTATTACTTCAGCTCTTTAAATTCTATACAATTTACAAATATCTACAACTCAGTATAACGAAAAGCAGCTTTTAAAGTATTTGTATAAATGTGTCTATCGTAATTGTCGTGTTCCTTTGTGTTGTATCATATAATGGAAATAAAGTATAGACATTTATTCATTAACTTGAAATAGTTATGCATATAGTGTATTAGTAATAAATTTTAGTATATTAGTATGTCGCAAATTAAATTAAGAGGGCCCTGTATTAAATAACTAAAATATTAAAATTCAAATTGTGTCCCTTAGATAGCGAAAGTTATAAAAAAATGTTGTAGTCATTATTTTTTTTAAAGAAATATTTTTATTCAACTAAACTTAGATTTAAGCATTTTTTTATAATATTTTTTTTCATTATTGCCTATTCGGAACGCAATTTTAGCCAAGAAGAAAGGGCTCAGCTGTTGCTTTAAAAAAAATTTACTATACAAATAATGAATTTGTGTGAATAGAAACTACTAAGCAGTATCAGACCATAAAATAGTAAATATATAACAATTTATATTGTTAAAATTCCAGGTTACAATATTTACCATACACTCTAGTAAACTTGGAATTAAAGGCTGTTTGGTTATCGGAGAACCAGGCACAACCTCTCCTGACCTTCCAAACAGACAGAGACGAAACGACGGGCGAGAATGTTCTCACCTGCTTTTTGTTACCTCAACTTAGTTACACGCAACAACCAGGTATGTGTGTATATCAATTAATTAATTACGCTTTTGGTGTTTTGTTAGCCCTAATATACACTGATGAGCGTTTTACAAACAACTGATTGGACTTTGAACAGGGCAATTTTTTTTTTATATTGTTCCATTTCTATTGTGTTACTTAATCTTATTTAGAAAATGTATCTACAAAAATATACTTCATACATGGAATTGTATGAAAAGTTGTTACTAATTTAATAGTTGATGGATCTTTCGTGTAACAGTTTACACGAGATATTGAATTATATTGAATTCCTAATAGTATTTTGGATTTTAAAAATTGTAATGTGCAGATGGTCCTGCTTAAAAGCAGATTTGTATTGCCTTTAGGTTTACATAAATTTTTTGTTGCATCTACGTATATTGTTGCATTAGCAAAAAACAAGATTTCATGCACCATTGCCTTTTTCAAAGTAATTTTAGTTTATATTTTTATATTTACTTTTCATAAACTTTATTTATTTTTTACTTTTACATTTTTGGTGACTGGTTATTTATAAATACAGTTTTTTGTTAAAATTTCACGGGTTCTCAAAACTTCTTGAACAGCTGAAATGCATAAATTAAGTAAAGATTAGTTGTTTTATTACTATTTATTTTATATATTATATATATTCTATCGATAAATAACTATCAATCGTAAACCATAAAAAATCATAAAACTATCAAATGTATAAAATAAATATGTTATAGGAATATACCAATTCAATCAATTACCAGTAATATATTTTAGTTCAAGTTTTGAAGTTGCTCTCTCTTTTAGAAGCGACTTTGTAAAGGACGTTGGCAACTGACCTATTTTTTTGTGTAAGTTTCACAATAGTATCGTCGGTTCCGAACTAAGTTTGATAATTCTTTTTGCAATTAAAATTACTAATAAAAGTCAGATTTTTATCTCTTGATTTATTATTTTGCTAAAATGTACGTATAATTGCTAGTACGTTCAATTTTATATCAAACTAACTGTCCATGCCCATTCTAATTACTAGGTGTATGTCAAATTTCGGACTATTGATAAATCCGTTAGAGCGTCAACGGGTAAACAAACACATTTGTATTAACATTAATAATATTAATTAGAAAATAAGAGTATTATCTGAATAAAATTACTGTAGATACAAAAATCCAAAATGGTTTGACTACGTGATCCTGAAATATGATCTGTTTATTTAACGGTTTGTACTAATTGTACTTAGGAGTTCGTGAAAACTGAAGCAATATTCGAAATTCAATATTAAATTTTTGTTGATCTTTCGCGCAAAATTGCTTTGAAATCTCATATTTTGTGAAAATAATATACATACTTATAGGTGAATATTTAATATTACTCAGGTAAAGAAATTTTTGAAGGTTAAAGTGAGTACCTACTGTGGCACTGTTATATATTTTGTTTAAGATTGTAAAAAAATAAAATACTCGTATCAAAATTCATTAGCATTCTCCGTTTCGATGTAGAAAATTGAAAATTGGAACGGTATTTGATAGGTATTGAGATGATATTACATATAATTTTAGTTTGTAATCGTCATGTCGTACAACCAGATAAGATGTAGTACATACCAGAGTATTTAATTTGATTAGATATACAATGAATTTAATATTACAAGAAGAAACAAATGTCTTCGAAGTATATATATATATATATATATATCCCAGTTATTTTATATTATTACTTAATTTTATAGTTAGAAACATTTTGATTTTCACTAATCTCTTTGCTTTCTCTTGCATCATGTGCACTTCTTATCTTTGAATGCAGAATAAAAAATATAAGCTGTTCATATTACGAGATATCTAGATGATAAATTTTGGTAGTTCCAAATATCAATGTCGTCCTCACTAATCGAAGTAAATTGATTAAAAGTTTTTTAATGTATGGTAGAAAATAAAGAAAGAAAAAATAGAAAATAAAATCTCAATATATTGAAGTTTAGATTTTAAGTCATATTGAAATTATTTCATCTCATGAGCAGGTTTTAATATATTTTAAAGTGACGACATTGGTTTTGGAAAGAAGTATCCATTTTTATCACAATCTATCCTGTATGCTGGATGTTTATTGTGACGTCAGCATATGATGTGAAATTGTGAACATTGTCCTTGCATATGCTTTTTGTGCTTTTTTAATTCTGCATATATAGCAGTGACAATTTGATCATCATATTTTCTATAATGTAAATATGAAAACATAAATTAACAATAAAGCAGGTTCTCATCCGAAACGTCGCCATATTGATATGTGTAAATAATAAAGTGCCTACAAAAGCATTGTCTTTTCTTGTTCAAGTTGGAAATTGTCAATTGGCAGCTCAATTAATTTGCTCTGTTCTAAAATTGAGAATTGTTACTGATATATTGTTACCTTTTCTGTTTTTGCTGTGTATATATACTAAATGCCAATTTTGGCACTTGTCACATAATGATAGAGCTGGAACACACGTCAGAAGTCGGCAGTGGACACTGGTACAGGGATCACAGATTTAATTCACAATCGCAGGAGCTATATAGAGTCAAAGGTAAGGGTCACAATGTTATTCCATACAGGTGCAGTCAAAATTATTATTACCCTTTTAAGGTAGCGTTCTACCAGCGAAACTAATTTTTTTTGCCCAGCAACACATTTTTGATGTTTTTCCTTCTTTATTATGGTAGAATTCTCCCTTAAAAGGATGATAATACTTTTGATTTTATCCTGTATTATCATAGCTATATTGTAGATTATTCATTTGCAAATACCTTTTTTTTCAACTTTTGCACTTTTATATTTCTATTTGATACTCATATGTATTTTATTTGCAAATTTGTATATACTTGCCCAAGTATATTTTGGTGCAAATATAATAATAGTTAATATTATTTTTTTAACTTCCGAAGATGTTATCGGAATGCATTCGATGACATCGTCGGAGGTTGATTAATATGGTAAGGGGGTAACAAAAGGTAGGTTTTATTAAATTTTCATTTTCATCAGCAGCAAATATTGTGTTCCATTTTGTGAGTTTGATAATACATGTGCTTTGTTTTGAGTGTATGTCTGTCTATGTTATTCGTATTACTATTAGTGGAAGGAATTACATTGACATGATTTAGTAATATTAATAATTTTATTCCATAAAATTTAAGTTCCTATTGGTTTCATATATTTATGTTTCGTTATGCAAAAAAACATAGAACTCTGATTGAGGTGAAGAAAAATAATGGAAATTATTTTATTACCACATCCTGGGTATTTCATACAAATACGCCATGTTACATAGACGTTACTGTTACATAAATGACGATGGTTTTATTTGTATGTGAGAGAATTAGGGAATGTATGTATGCTATTATTGTTTTACCACTTTGAAAACATATTTTAATGTTTTTTTTTTTAAATTTATTACATAATGTTAATCTCAGACCTTATGGTCTACTAGTAGGTATATAATACTTGCTTTAAACGTCTTATATGTATATCTACATAATACATACAACCTAATGATGTATGCCGTCATTATTTATTAGTATTACAATTTTTAATGTTTACTATAATTTATAGATACGAGCGCATCACGTGAACGCGATCTTGATGACATGGATTGGCAAGAAAAAGAAGAGTCCCGTACACACTCGGTCAAGTTCACAGAAGAGTACACAGAAGCGAAAGAGGTGAGCCTATGCTGTTGTATATTTACAAGATTTAGAACACGGTATCCGCACAACACACAATCATCGAATTTTAGAGCTACAAGACAAGCTTTTAAAACACTGCGTTATGTACCGTATCGCTTCCGTAGTATGAGTCTCAGGTTTAGAGAAGAGTCCAGGAAACTTGGCAATTGGTTCAGGAGACATTTATTTGAAAGATCATATCGTGTATTGACATCTGTTATTGTTGTCTTAGATTAATTGTAAAGTACGGTAGGTGTATAAGGAGAGTAATATATGATTTTGTGCATGTTTTTTTTTTATTGTTATAATTTGTATTTACTATGTATATTATAATCAGTATTACTTTTTATTTTCTAGTTTTTAATAATAAATATAATATAAATAATAAATATGTGGTAATTGTGTAAATTCATACTTTTGTACTGGCATATACACTAGTATATAGTATTTTTATAACGAGTATATTAATGTTAATGTATACAACATGTAAAATATTTGCTTTCGTTTTATTTTGATGGTTTGAACAAAATAATTTTTAATATCTGGTGGCTTGACTTTCGACTTTACAAGGAAGTTTATGTTAAAAAATTCTTATCAAGACGCTATTAAAAAAGTCTAGTTTTACACATTTAACAAAACCTGTTCAATGTGTATACAAAATTGTATATTTATAATATTATGGTTCTGTTATGCTAATTAAGAATAGAGTTTATTCCTCCTACTCTGCATCATGTTTATGCAAAATGTATTAAAATGGTTTTGTCTTAGTAAAACGTCATCACCTATAAACACTGTTTTCTTTTTAACATGTATTATTAGGTACTATTTCTCCCAAGACCTTTTTAACATACCTACATTAAAGTATTAATGACTTTTAAAATACTTAACAGTTCATTATTCCTGATAAAAAAATCGAACAAATCGATTTAGATGTATTAAATTTTTAGAGAATTGTATGAAATAACATTTTACGGAGTAAGAACATTATTTGCATTTATTTTGGCAATAATTGGTAAAATGACTAGAACTATCCCAGGAATAATAATAAAAAAAAACAATATATTTTATTTTTGCAAAAATTATATAATTTTTAGATTATTAGTATATAATTTTTCGGAACAATATTCATACAGTAACTACACATTTCTTGCGGTCTTTGTATGTGCACTTTAATTTCAACACTCAAATATTACTATTTTAATAAAAATCTGTTTGAAATATCGTTAAAATAACAAAAACTGTTTATATATACTCTGGCCAGTAAAATAGAAACACAGATAGCTCTATATAGTTGTTCATATAATAATTAATTTATTAAAACGGCCTGTTGTAGTAACTTACAACATAACATTTTAAGTCATCCTGTTGATCGTTTAATAATTTTATTAGGGCTTAGTTGGCGCGTTATAGATGTGCAATATATAAATGGTTAAGTGTTGAACCTTTATCGTTGTTTTTTAGAATACCGTCTTTTGACTGTGACTTGGTTTGTTTGAAATTGTCACATGGTATAAAAATATAACTAATTGGGGTCATTCTTTATTTGTGTACTAAAGTGTTCTCTAAGCCGTTTAAGTACCATTAAGTATACTAATTTAAATAATAATTAATTAAATTATAATTACTGTAATGTTAATACATATCCTACATTGTCATACCCTTGACATTGTAAGGTTTTTATTATTTTATCAAAAAGAAATTGAGGGTAAATTTATCAAAATTATCATACATACGTTAGTTTGCGGCTAACTGAAAGCAGGCAGTTCGGATGGATTGTATTTTGTTTTGCTTATTTTTCATTCAAACCAAGTTTCATTAAAATGTCTTATATTTGCAGAAGCTATAAATGGATCTCATTCTATAGGAACTTCTATAAAAATCTTACTTACCATATCTTACTTCTGGGAATAAATTCCTTATCTAACGATTATTAAATGTTGTACGTACCTATTTATATTTATTGTACATTAGCTTAACATTCAGTTATGATTATGCACTATTTTGTGTAATAATTATGACGAGACAGTATGTGTAAAAAACAGTCAGCTTTCTATCACACTGATAAATGTGAAATTAAGTAATTTATAATTAAGTAAATAAATACTAAGGTTTATATTTATTTATGAATGTTAATTACTGTACCAGGTTTGGATGATCAAACGAATTTAAACGAAATTTGGTTCATTAATGGATTACCATTTATCCTAATCTATGTGGTAAAACTGTTGTAATAGTTTAATATATAAATGTAATAATTAAGATTTAGTACAGAGATATATTCTTGTATGGAAACAAGAATGTATACGAGGTCTGTCCGGAAAGAGATATATTCTGGAATGTATAAGCGCAGGACCCCTTCCTTATGTCCCTAACAATGCTTCAGTTCTGGTCTGACCGCCGTGCGGTGCGAACTGGCTTGTATATGAAGTTACCTCTTAACGAAATGTCGGCATGGAGCCCGCTTCCGTTGAAGAAGCGCGTCAGTTTCTCTCGAAACTCGGCAAGAATCTGAAATTTTTGCCGATCTCAGAACTATGGGGATGATGCTGTGAAGGAACCAACCGTCCACAAAAAAAGATTCAGAGAGGGCCGAGAGTTCAAGATGACCCACGTTCAGGACGATTCACATTCCGACGAAAACGTGGAAAGTCGAACTTGTGTTATGGGGACCGTCGTTTAACGGTCAGACAGTCGTGTGGCACGAGTTCGTCCAGAATTGGCGCGAATTCTTCACCACGACAATGCCCCTGCCCACACCTCTCTTGTTGTCCGTGAGTTTTTATAAAAATTCCATTACGGTGACCGAACACCCCCCTATTCGCCGGATTTGGCCCCGTGTGACTTCTTCTTGTTCCCAAAAACCAAATTGGTACTTCGGGGGCGGCATTTGGGGGACATAAATGAGATAAAAAAAGCTACGACGGGGCAGCTGAGAAACCTACAACCAGAGGACTTTCAAGGAGCCTTCTCACAGTGGAAACGGCGTTGGCACAAGTGCATTATGTCACAGGGGGATACTTTGAAGGGGATAAAATTGATTTACCTGAATAATTGTAAAGTAAAATTTTTAAAAAACTTTTATACGTACTTTCCGGACAAACCTCGTATAAGTACATGCTAAGTCTAAATCATAATCTAAGTAACTAAATCTAAAAAAAGAAAGGAGTTATATGATTTTATGTCAGTGTATATTTTTGTGTAGGAAATAAAAACCATATTCGATTATACATGCATATCTGTCACGCCTGTCTCCCATTAGGGTAGGCAGAAACAATGGAACGCCAAATGCTTCGATGCAAATTAAATTATACTCCAATTTTATTTATTATTTGTCATATATACATTAATATAGCATTTTTATATGTTTATCGTATACATTTTTTTTATGTTACATAGACGAGATCTTCATTGAATGAAAATTATATTCATTAAAAAATTACTGTCTTGTACAGTGTAGCTATATTTGTTTCATTTTACTTAGGTTAGGCTAAAAGTGTAGACTTTCAATATTAGGGGCATGAGGATAAGAATTTTATTTTTATTAGATTAGGGATCCGTAAAAATTTGTAACAAACATTATGTATTGGTGATCTCGGTTTCGATTCTCGGCAATATAAACTTAAAAATCTTAAAATAAATATTTAATAACTTAATTTTTTTTAAATATTTCTAAATTTAATAATATATATACGAGTGGTATGAGTAATGAACGTGTAAATGTTTATTTGAAATCCATGTAATTTGAGTACCCTGTATGGTAAATAGGCTCTGCTCTGTAGATAACTGTTTGCCAACAATACTGTCAAGTTTTAGATTGGTTTCCCAGATTCGTTGTTTTTAAGAATTGTATTATTAATCTGAATTCACAAATTTCATCATAGGTATCCAAATAGAAGTCGATTCAGACATACGATTCAAAGCAATAAGGGTAGAGCCATGAAAATGTCACTACTGAGTGTCAAGCAATGATACAGCTGTTTCGAATGAAATTCCTTGGTAAAAGTTACCTGAATACTTTTATTTGACCTTAATAAAATAAGAAGAGCACAAAAAATACATTAAATAAAATCAATTGAAAATAATGTTCATTATATACAAAATAAGAATAAATTATTTTATTACCATAATTAAAATTAGCGTTTTAAAATGTTTAAGCACTAAATTATATATTACTGTTATCACAGTTACCACCCGAGGTATACATAGATAGATGCGTCATTGGATTGTACTCGTAAACGACACAATGACCTACTTTATAGTATATATTTTAAAATATTGGACAAAATGCGGTCAAAGCGGCTATTACTTTTCCTTACATTGCATATATATTCATCTCAATGGAATTTTATATTTTTACTTAAATTAAGAAAGTGGTCCAAAAGAAAGTAGCAACACAAATGACTAAATTTATTTATGATGTCTTTAAACAATTTAATATATACTTAAATATCAATAATTGTTTATTAATATTCATGACCGTTGCGAAGATACACTCGGAAGCAAAAATGTGACTTGCAAAAGCTGGCGAGGTGCATGTTCCTGGAAAAAAAATGTTTGGTTTTAAGGTACCATCGATTCAGGAAGAGAGTGAAGAGACTACACCTTCTGAGTCTGCCTTCACACCACAATCGTTGCTAGGGTTGCGGCGGCCAATAAACGTGGTCCGCAAGCTAGTCACCGCGCAAAGGAGGAGTTCGCTGCAACGACTATCCTCCTCTATAACTAACCTCGCGGAGGTACGCGGCAAAGCGTCTCAACGTGTGCAATCACAAGCGTGGAACTATCCACTAATTTGCTACAATGAAGTGTTAATTAATTTTAACCTTGTACTTAAAAAAAACTATTTTACAACACAGTAGTACTGTTACAAACATACTAACAAGTTGGGCGATTGCATAACCAAAGTTTACTAGAGTTTCGATCATAAATTTTTGAATTATATTTATTTAAATATTCCAAAAAACTTTTAGAAACAAAAATAAACAATATTTCAAACAGTTGTGAATGCACACGAAGAGAGCCGTAATGCGCTGTCCGCCACTAAACCTCTTGCTCTCATCTATAGAATAATAGTAACTAGATATTAATTTTTGTTTTCGCTAAACGTAGATCTAATGCAGTTATTGTTTTACTTTCGTGAAGCGTCGCATATTTGTTTCCTTTTTGACGATATTATTTAGTACACACATTTTTGTAATTATGACACTAGGGAATTCTAACACTTATACCATGATCCAAGTATTCCTTTGCATTATATAACTTTAGTAAAATTTTCACTTAATGTGGAATGAACGAAAATATTAACATTATCAAGTTCACAACACCAGTTTCGTTGGAGTATTTTTGTACCGCACTGTTTGAACTGCACTTAAAGTAGATTAGTGTATCAGTACAGACGTCGTAGTATCAAGGAGGTGACGCTGCGTGTAACATCATATCCTGTGATTCATTTGCCTTGCTTCATAGAGTTATGTATGCGGTTAATAGGTTAAATGATAATTACGATTTAGGACGATTGACACCGTAAGCATCGTATGGTCTTTCGTGTCTAGTTAGTAAACGTCATTGGCTTACCATACATACGGGTACACAATGTTTACAGATATTTCTGAACTTATAGGCCACTTTTTTCATTGAATTGTCTATGGTAATTTAAAAATTTCTGAACAGATTATACACTGAAAATTTTTTTATTGAGTCGCTTACATAATTACATGCTATTTTATTAGAACATTAAAATATATGGTTTATTAAAGCGCTTTTACGCATATTTTAATATTGTTTTATGCACTAAGCATGCGCATGTTTACTTTTATTATTTTTGATAATTTAAAAGACAATCTTTAAGCGTCCATAGTTTTAGTTAAACCGCCATTAAAGGAATTTCTCATAATAATTTTATATTAATAAAAAAAAATATTTTATAACGAATCAAATTAGCACTTGAATTTACATTTATCGAATATTTCAGACTCCATTTGTGCGTCAGAATACGCCGCATCCAAAGGAATTGAAGGCGAAAGCACACAAGATACTTGGCCGTTCGCCAGAGTCCCACGTGCAAACTACCCACGATCACCCCACTGCGAATGGTTTACCTACGTCACCTCCAGAGCCCACGCCCGTGGCCACGGCACAAGCTTACGAGGTATATTTTTTATACTATTAGAAATCATAAAGAACTACCTACCTACTAAATGGAAGATAGAAAGTTACTTATAGACATGAACTGTGCATTCGATACATTGCGTTCTTTATTTAAGAGGTATCAAAGAGTATATTTGCATACATCTCTTAGAAATAATGGAAACAATGAAAAAGGAAATTGTTTTATTGAATAAATATTCTGTTTTTAAGTAAAGTTACATATGAAACTTATGAGTTTTGTTAATATTTCTGTCGGTGACACAAGCCAAATAGTTACTTTTTTTATTAGCTTTAAAGAAAATAAAAAATTATGGCTTGAATGTCTTCTCTTATCTTCCCTTTCCCTTCTAACCGAAGCATAATTCTGTTAGACTGTCCAAAGTTTATTAATGTATATTTTTTCTTTGTAAACAGGCAGTTCACAATAAGCAAGTTGATTCCGATGTAAGAAATGAAGATAACGAGTACCCAGGAACTCTTGAAAGGGATTCATCCGAAGGCGAAAATGATGATAACGACGATTCAGACGAACTAGAGGTATTTTTTTTCCATATTACAAGAACTAGCATTTTTCTTAACAATTTAACCATTTCCAATATTATTGGGAGTCTTTCGATTAACTCTACTAAATATGGTAGTTTTCTTAGTAGTGTTAATAACAATAATGGTCAAAGAATTATATAGTTTAATATTAATTTAAATGCGGGATAATATTTGTAATACTTGCTTTTATTAATGATATTTTTTGTTCTATATTATTTATTCGCTTAATAATTTATAACTAAATAAGTGCATTGTTTTGGGGATCTTATAATACTCATAAATAAAAAAAATAATTGAATTACCAAAAAAGTATAAATAATTACCAAAAAAGTATACTGTTATATTGACTATGTAAATCGCTGTTTTCTTTTTTAACTTGTAAGAGAAAAAGCGATTTTGCAGTTAAATAGAAAATTACTGGTATTATTTGTAAGTTTGCACCTCGGGTAATGGAAATCATATTGATATTTTGTGTCATTGTTGGTCCTCTAGAATCTAATCTATATATTTGTGCATACATTTACGTTGCCGCAAGCAGGAGAATAAATGGAATATTTGATATCCTTTCGATTGTTATCGTGTTGCAAGTACATTCATTTACTCCTTCTCTGCAGTGTTAGTTATAATAAAACAAATACTAAGGTATTATTATTAAACAAATACTGAGGCAGTATGGTGCAAACTTACTGAATTGTATATATGTACGAGTAACAAAATTACATAAGGCCCGCTGTGTTCTGCCACGTCTCTGGCTCAAACCGCTCTGGCTTTTGTAGTTAACTTGCTTACTCTAACCCTAAATTATGTTGGCTAGTCACTATTCGAATCCGTATGGTATCTATTCGAATCAAAATTTTCAAATTATGCTCGTACAATCCAACTCCAATCGAGTGTTGAAGAGAAAAAGTTTTCCGTATTCATCCAAACCATTTGGATTATTGCAATAATCCCGTTATTACAAAAATCTAATTTTGTTCAAGATGACCGGAAGCTTGCAACACAAATTGTACTGATCGATTGTTGATTGTAACATCTTTATTAGTGATATCATATCGTATTTTTTGGCTATTCAACAATATTCTCAGCTGCTTCTAAATCTACTAATCAAATTTGGTTTTCTCAAAGTCGAATTATGTTGATCAGTAACATATGTATTAATTCGAGTAACAAGTATTGATTAATGAGTTACATGGAATTTAGAATTGTAAAATGTGGGCAATCTACTTGAATATCCTGTAGGGTTCGGCTCGTAGCTTGGCCGAAATGTTTTAGGGATTAAAATACAGATATAAACTACAAATACTAGAGCGATTTAACAAAGTATCTGGCCGAAGATAGCTGGCAACTGTAATCTTGCGTACGTGTAACATAATTTGGTCGGTGGCGGGTAGCACGGTACGAGGCGTGTGGCGTGGCGTGTGTCGGTGCAAGAGCGGGTGGCGCCAACCGGTGCGGGCGGTCGCTTGCACCGCCGCGATACACCGCATCACCTCAAGAACAAACGCGTCAACCAGATCGACGCGGGCCGCGCACGTGACCTGATTGCGCAGGTGCTGCCAGTCTCAGTGATAAACATGTCTTGTATGATTGGCCTCGCGGAAACCCAGCGATGACTAATATTTTATCGTCAGATAAGCGACTAAAATACTTCCGTTAAACCAGTTAACGAACGCCGAATGTCGTTTATTTTTCATAGCCTTTTTTATCTTTATTTAAATGCGAGATCAAAACGGATGTAATAATTAATTGTCGCGAGATACGTTATAAGTATTATACAATAAATTCATATAATTAAAGCACTTCAATGGCAGGGGAGTATTAGCATATTATGGTTCGCGATACAATCAGCTCTTTATTGTGCTCAATTGCTACCTATCATAAAATGTTAAAAATTCGTCTTACTCCTCAATGTTGCTCTCAAATTAATCTTGAGAATTTTAAAATTAGCGGGGATTTAGGAGAAATGTAACACGCCTGTTTAAGACGGACTTATTTTGCTCCTTTACAAGTAAATGAAAGAATATATTAACATTTAAATTTTATTTAAATTAAGTATTATATTTAAAATCTAATATATCAAAATTATAATAGATAAATAGTAAGGGCACATACCGTGAGGTTCCGGCATAGAATAGGTCACAAATTTCTTTCCCGTGGGTGTCGTAAGAGGCGATTATGGAGGGTGAGGGAAGGGCAGCAGTGTTCCTCTTAAAACATCTTTAAGGCCTGACTGCGGTTACCAATCCGCCTGTCAAGGGTGGCATTTAACTATTAGCAAAACCCTCCTTATTATATGTTCAGCAATGGACAGTTAAAGGCTGATATGATGATGATGAAGGGCGTAATGATTGATGCTCATGTTATGCAGTGTTTCGAATATTCGTGATAATATATGACAAGACTATTATTTATAAGTGTCATTACTAAAATTAACATGTACCTTGTATATAGTTTATGCAAATATTGACACTAGTAAATATTAGCGTTACTGGGTTTCTTGCGCATGACCGCGGTAGATAACATTGTTGTTGTTGTTCTCTAGCACGTTTCTGTATGTAACCTATTTGGATTTGGCTGAAATTTTTTTTAATAACGTGTACGAGTAATCTCGCTGTACGAATTTTCACAGTGTGATTTATTTATGTATTTTGCATGAAATTTAATGCGTTTGCAGAAAAATAGTTCCTAACCTGTAAACATTCGGTGAAAATTCTTAATACGGTTTGCTCTAATGGTCGCTTTGTGTTGTGTTTCGTTCTTGTTTAGTAATAAGAAATTTTCTGTTTTATGGTTATTTTAAATTGATGTACCATATTCACATATTATATATAGCAGTTTCAGTCGTTCATTATCATTTACTTATTTAATTATGATTTTCGTATTATTACAGCCGATATAATTCGCTAGAATAGATTTATTAAGATATAGAGAAAAAGAAAAATTAAATGCCAAACATTCGCAATTCTCGTATTTATTGCGTTCTAGTTTTATTTTAATTTTTTTTATATTAGTGTATTTGGTATAGTAAATTATTTGTGAATTAATTCAATAATTGAACAGTTAGGTACAAACATTTAGCTATTAAGAAATAATTTGTGATGTTGTAGATTATTTATTTATTGGATGATTACAGTGTTTCAATAATTACAATATGGTCTAATTATGTTGTTTAAGTTTCAATAAAAAGTTAGTAAAAATGTTTGTGTAAGATTTTCAAAATATTTAAGATGTTCCTGATCTGATATGTAAAATTATTGATGATTGTTGAGTGTAAATTTGACATAAGTGTTAAAAATCAATGTGCTCATCACTCTAATTTCAAATAGGGCGGTAACAGGCATTAATATATTATTACCGTTATGGTGAACGTAATATAATCTAATATACTTTATAAAGTTGCGCCAAATAGTAAAAGTTGAAGAGATGGAAACTGGCAGAAACAATGGAATCGTGAGATTGTTTCACATCACATTTGCAGGTTGTGAGCACATTAACGTAGAATGTCTATAAAATCTGTAAAGCGGGTAATTCTATAAAGCACTTACGTCCTCTAAAATGCCATAAAATAATTTGCAACTTTCTTGCATACAATAAATTAATATGTATGCATGTTTAACTGCTCGAAATAAATCGGATAACATCAGATCTTAGCGTGTAAATAAGCAATAAATCTGTCAGTGAGTCGCTCCGTTTCTGTAATCACGACCCGACCGTGGGTAATTGTTGGAATACCGCGGGTGTTACGGGCTGGTGCGCGCGGGCCCTCGACCACAACGCTCGCCGTAGACCCTCTGCGAGGCTCGCAGAAATGAGTGCCTTGCACCGCGCAGCTTATAACAATGCTTCGTGTACCGCGATTAATCGATAAGTGAAGTGCCGCTTTCTCAATACAAGTGCTGTGTTAAATAAATCGCCAATAAACACCGGCTAATACAAGTACCAGTTCCTTATCCGTTACCTATTAAAATGAGGTGCTTGAAAGCGGCAGGAGGATGGCTCGCCCGGGTGAGATACCTATGCGAGATAAAGACAGATTTCAATTTAGATTCGACTGCATTTTGTTGTTTGGCTTGCCTCGCTTACGTTTTGTGATATCACTGAACTGTACTTTTATGGTTACATCCTAGTGGCTGCAGCAGATGTCGCTCGTTATACATACATTAAACCTTATTCACTTTTCGCCACTTTATTGCACGATACAATCTACGTGTAAGAATGAAACAGCGTGTAAAATAACAATTTATTTGCAGGCGATTAAAAAACGAGAACAGCAAGAGGAACAACAGAAGACTGATGATGACGAACACGTCGAAGAAGTCACCGGAGACATTGCTGATGGTAAGTAATTTTTGTTTTATATTTAGCGATAAAGGAGAACAATAAAGCAAAATGATATTCGCAATAATATCCTTTCTGATTGTAACATTGTTAATAGTTGTGGAGTTGCAACATTATTTTATATGCTCGTGACTACATTCGGTCGTCTTTCGATCACGAACGTGAATCGAGCGACCCAACTATCACTCTCTCGTCATCACACAGAGGCTCAAATTGCGTTTATTAATGTGAGAAACCCTCGTGTGTCTTTGATCTATTTATATTGTATATGCATATCAATAAGTTAGTGCATTTATTTTAAATTTGACTTACGTTACAAAAATTTGCAAAAAATATATTTTTATAACTTGGAATGATGAACAAGACAAAGGCCCAACTAAATATTAAATAAAAAAAATAATTGTAACCGTCGGTTATAGCTATGAATAACAGCATGGATATCACAATATGAGCATACTATGACGTCCATGCTACTCCGCATGCGTCGCCGTTCCAAATGTAAGAATATTATGCCTCTGTATCTTGTAATTTGTCTCGCATACCTTATGTAAATATAATATTCTGTATTAGAGGACGAACATTATTACTCAAATAAGTCACCGAAGCGTTTTCCATAAGTAACATACGCTTTGAAGCGGAAATTTGTAACCCATTAAAATTGTCGTGGAGCGGAAAAATGGGGCCTAGCAAAAATGTTTCTTATCTACCCTCTTGTTTTATTTTAAGCAATAAGCTGGTCATGTCCAATGATCGTTTTGTATAGAATTGATATCGTAACGTTATCAGCTTATCTCCCGCACTCGGCGTGCCATTTCGCTGCGTACAACGAAGCCCCGCAGTGTTTCACTCATTTGTGGCGGGTCTGCCCGCCATATCACACTTTTGTGAAATTTAATAATCGACTCGCGTGTTTGTCTTCATGCGACCGACGACGAGAATTCATGATCTGTGACCAAACAGAGATACCTAAGTGGGTTGTGACTCAGATTGGATATGAACACAATCGATTAGTTTGAAAACGGTTTGCGTAGACATACCTCGTTGTGTACTAACTTTTGAAACGGTAATACTTTATAGGTTTATCGCGTTAGTGTGTAAAAAAATATTGAAGTGGTTACTAAATCGAGTGCTGGAATGTGAATATACGGAGTCTTTAGCAACATACAAATATGCAACGTCAAATAAATTTATATGTAAATCTTTATTACTCATTCAGAACACAGTGCTTAGTCAAACACCAGTATATTGTGAAGGTCAAACTCGGTTATTGTATTCAAGTTTTAAGTACTGTTCTCGAAAATACTGAGTTTAAATACGTTAGTTATGGACTGATTTGCTCCGTTTTACCTTAAAATTATAGAGTTTAGACCCTGTACCTGTTGTTCGCTACCAACTTTCTCTGGTAACAGTACTATGCAGTTACTTAATTGTTTATAGCGAGCATTACTGTCACCATCGCACCGTTCTCAGCGCTGCTGAACTTATAACTTTCCCACACTTACTTAAAGCGATCTCTTAATTTTCGTGGTCCTATACAAACAAGGCCTGAGAATTCCGTCCGTGTGTGAATTATGTACGGTGTGGTACCGTCGTATTCCTATTAAATTGTTAATGGTTATATTTGATTTGCAAACAGTAACACGTTTGTTAACATTTAGACTTGCGCTGTGTCGAAACGTTTACATTTCATGCTCATCTGATACGCGATAAAATTCCTACAGAGATACGGTCATAGCGATTTCTTCTACAACGATATCTTAGTTTCTGCAATAAAATGTCCCACTTCGGTGCTTCTTTTGTCCTACTTGTTCCTACTTCTAAACCTTAGTAGAGCATGGCACTTTTACTATATAAAGGCACGTGTGACCAGTGTGACATAACTTTTAAAGTAAATCGCAGTTAACACCTAACTAATAAGCTAGTTTCACAGTATGTATATAAATTTTGTTAAGATTTTGTGACTATTGCTTGGCTCATTGTCGCAAATGAAAAGACTGACAAATATTCAAAGGGCAGAATTAAATTAATTTTACGCAATAACATGTTAATACTGATGATAATAAATAACATGTTCGCGGATCCAAACAGCCTCGATACCTTGAGTATTAATTCACGGCTATTAGCGTGTAATTAATTGAACCGCGCGAAACAGTTCTCACAATTATCATGAAATAACTAACGATTCCAGATCTCAATATCAATGAGGATGGTTTCTTGTATGTAGAGGTGTGTCCTGACTTGAGTATAACGAATCACCTTGACCTGACAATGTTCCCTTTTATATTCGTAACTGTTGTAATATCAATGTGCGATAGAAGGCAAAAGATAGATCTAATGCATATGTCATGACATCGCACTGAACACGCCTCACGAATACGAAATTAGAGGAGTGTTTCATAGAACAAGTCATATCTAACAATGTGCCTTTAGGGAAAAGATAGGTAGGTAGGTAGTTATTTGTTTGTTCATGGTACGTGTAATTGAACTGACAATATTATCTTATCAATTTCAATAATAATGATTTCAGTGTCAGTCGTACATTACATTCTTGATTGTTGTGTTGTGTGTATTGTATCATTCGTGACTGATTTCTTTGAGTTTGTTAACGTCGTTGTTAAAGTTACACTGAATACAATATGATACCGTAATTTGTATATTTATTAAGACTTGCATCTGAGATTTGAAATTTACATAGTTATCTGTTAATTTAAATATTCTATGCAAGTTATTATGTAGATTATCAAACATGATTTAAAAAAATGCATTTATATTTCGTCATACTAAATCAATATTTAATAATTTGACAATATTTCGACAATGACGTTACTATAATTAAATTTAACGGTAGCCGAATTATCTGTATCTAATATGATTATAATTGTGTACATTTTTTAAATTTATAAATATTATTGAGTCATTACAGGTATTCAAGTACATGTCGTACTCTATCGATAGTTGCCTGCGGTGATATATCTTACTAACTTGCACTAATTTCTCTACCTTTTTTCTTAAGGTCATCAGATTTAATTCGCGTTCGAAATTTGATTGATACGGCGTGATCTTATCATGTCATAATATATAAATACCATTGTGTGGATTAACTGTTAACTGCCTTACCTTTTACTATCGACAGTTTCTCTCTCAAATTTTTATTTTTACCTGTCCATACACTACTTTTCTCCCACGGGAATTAACAGTACCTTTGTCTATGAGTCGCGTCGATGTTTCAGCTTTGGTGTTTTAACCTCAATTAACTCTGACAACGCCGATCTTGTTCTCGGTCTTGTGGTCATTTACTAATACATCATCGTTCATTATTCATCGCTTATGAACAGCGTTGTAAACGTCATTTACTTTCTTCATGATAAGTTACTTTGTTGTATAATAAGCTCTATGAGTTATAATTAATTTGTTATTATGTTAGAAAGTTTCTAATTCCAGCACTCGAAATGTCAGTGTGATATTTAATAAAAAAAAAAAATGTATGTGGGATAAACGGTATTGCAGTATCTACTTATGTTAGTATGTGAAATTTATTAATATGAAAGACAAAAGACTGCAATTGAAATTAAGTGTCCGTTCAGACGGTTCACTCACGCGTAACAATCTAAGAAGTAGTAACAGAAGTATAGGAAGCACAGGAAGTAATAGCAGCGCTGGTTTACCCGTGAGTGAAATTTTTGCTATTGATCGTTTCGATCCACCGCAAAACAGACCTTTCGTTATTCTCGACAAGTACAAACGAAAACCCAATCAATACCCAGGACAAAGCCTACCAGCTCTGAATCAAGATGAACCAAAACATAATAGCCTTCCGAATAGAAGAAATACGACGTACATTGATTATCCAGAATCAGAATTTTCGCCGTATATATATGCGCACCAATATCCCATCCAATATATGCCAATTTTTCAACCACTACGATATGAAACACTTTATGAGAATGCAGAGGGGCCAATGTTTGGGTCTTTGCCTCGTTCAATGACTTCGATGCACTATAATCAAAATGAAACCGTACCAAATACTGGCAACTATACTTTGCCAGTGAGATCGGGGCCAAGACGAGTGCGTATCAGCGAGGGCCAACCCATTGTGCACGGATATGGTATGTCGTGATGTAATTTAACACGATGTTTATTTTTATTTCTTTAATATAAATTTAAATTACTTTATTATAAGGTATTCGATACCGCTTATGGAAAGATACTTTCGACATGATAACAATGTAATTAAGTGTATCTATCGTACTTGAGTCTTGTCAAACGCAAATTACTATATCCACATTTAGTAAAGTTATTAAACTGCAAACTGTTTTATCGGAGAGAAACTGGCCTTGTAGAAAGCTTTGAATAGAGACCAATGTTGTCTTTAACCAGCAATATATCACAATGTAGCTGTCACTGCTATAAATTTTCGCTTTCGACAGTCCTACTGTATTTATAGGAAAATTATTTACATTTACAAACAATTCTATTGTTAGAGTCCAGTAACTTGATTGCTATTTTATTTTATGGATAGAGTTAACCGTGATAATAATTGTCTATATATATCTATATCTAGAGTTTAGGATATAGTTTGGTCTCTATTCTTATTTACATCCCATTCATTTAACAATATTAATCAATTAATTTGTTCGATATTTATTTATATATATGTATGTACGTATAGCGATCGTCAGAAAAAAAGGCTGTTTATTTTGTGCAAAAAAATATATATTTATATATGTTGACTCGTGTATTGTGTCATAAACATTCAGGTTTATAACATACTTACGCTCAAACTTGGTGTATTTGATTAAAATTATTGTCATATTCTTTATATGTTTTTATACGTGTGTGCGTAAGTGGGCCGAGAGCTAGTCAGCCCTCTCGAGGGACGGACAACAATAGCTGCAGCAGGGCACTCTCCCCGCACTTATTGGTGCGCTCTAATGAACCACACCGATATCAGGTGCACGACGCAGACGCCCCTGTCGTCAGTACCTCATACACCTCCACAT